GGCAGGCACGAGTTAATCGTAGCTCACCCATGCTGCATGGAATATATTTGCCATTTCACTCATATTACTTCCCGTTTCTCCATTTATTCGTTCATATTTGAAAAGCAAAAAGTTTAAGAAAAGTGTGTTTACTTTGATGATTTTACATGTTTGTGCCCAACAATAATAACCATTGCCTGTCGCACTGGTAACTTATTGTTTACTAAAGGATATAATAGAAATTTTATGCAAAAGTTTATATTATATTTGATAGAACACTAACAAATCGAGACATCTAGTAAAGGAAAGATCAAGTAATATTTTGAGATATAGAAAGAGTTCATCATTTAATTTAGGGCAAGATGGCAAAAAGGCTCCTCAGTCTCTATCTTATTGCAGTTCCAATTAGGAAGAATAAACAGGGAATGTAAAAGTAGTTCCCAAGGAAGCATAGGGGTGCCTATTAGTGATAGGTACTAAGCTAATAAGGATTCAATAGATGTACAATTTGTTACATTGATACAGCTTTAGGATAAACTGGGCTTTGACTACCTAAAACCACTTGAGCCCTTCCTATAAAGGACTTCTTTAGGGTATTATATCACTTTCCAAAGTCAAATTAATGATGCGTGATTCTCAATATAATAAAACTATTTTGCAACATTCCATCATTTGTATATTAGACAAGAAAAATGGTTACAAGTTTCAAAACTAAAGCAACATGAGAACCATTAGACATTCACAAAAGAAATTACGGTCCAGCAAAACAATTTTTTTCAAAAATATTAGTTCAAGCAAACACACTGGCAATTAGGTCTATCATGAGATTTGATTTTTCAATCATCATCATCAGGTTAACCATATCGAGTACATTTCATGGCATCAGGCATCAAATGTCCTTCAATCATCCTCACAATCAGATTCTTTAAAGGAGATGTCAATTTTGCACAAATGATCAATGTTTATGATTTTAGACAGGGTAATTATTAATGTAAAGTTGCATAAAAAATTGAAAATAGTATGACATCTGAGGCATGAAGAACTACAGTGAAAAATATGATAGCCAAGGGAAAAAAAGATTTTACCTGCTTCTCATTTATAAAGACACTTACAAACTCACCAACTTTGCCAGCTCTACGCAGCTTTCTAATATCACCAGCAAATTGCTACAAAAGGAGAAGGATTATTGAGAAAGTGAAAATAGAATTACCATATATACGTTTCTTCAGCAGAATGCAACAGAGCATTGTCAACACCTGCGGTCTTCTATGCTTGCCAAGAATCAGCCCGTTTAATATAATTAGAAACGAATTTTGTGCATGAAGATCTTCTCCTGATATTAATTCCAAGTCTTCAACTCCCAAACTATAGCACTGTTACAGCAGAAATTGCATGCTCATAAATAATAAAGATGTACATACATATCTTGAAGCAACAAAATTCAAGATTCAATTTATTACAGAATAAAGCTCAAGGTATTAATCTGATTATGGTTAAATTTTTCATGCTAGATTCCAGTAGCAAGAATCAACTCTAAGAATGCTGATCAGTACTATAGAAGGAATGTCAACAAACATAAACACTAAAAAAAATCTCACAAAATAAATGGAACTAAATAAACAGTAACAAGGCTACTTGTAAAAAATTCTAGGACTTATGTACTTCTTAGTGCTTAGTTAACATGATATCTGGACAATTTGTTGCAAAGAACAGGGATCACATGAATAGGTTAATACAAATTCATATGCAAGACACATAAACATGTATTTGAGCATATTGCATGCAGGTGCAATTGCTTCATGCATGCCCACATACGTAATTGACACAATATGCATAATAATCTAATGTTACCTTGTAAAGACCAAGTCCTAATTATATCATTTCTATCCCATCTAACAACTAAGATTGAAGGACATTTTGTACATAGATAATTACATTTAATTCATATGGACACAATTATCTGCAAATATCTATATTATAAACCACTAAAGCGTGTTTAACATTTTTGTCAGACAAATAACAATTACAAGCACATGCAACTGAACAGATAAAGAATTAACTTCATCTGCTATTTATTTGCAGATTGTTCACTGAGACATACATTAACCTATATAGTGCACACATGCATATTACCTTGAACTACCATCACCTTAAGATTACTACATCAAATGCACTTTCAACATTACAGCAAAAGAAATTTTAGGTGAATAAAGATGTACCAGAGAAATCAATGGACCCTCCTCCTCATCAGTTGTGACATGAGTTGTTAGAGCCAAGTTTTTCACCAGTCCACAAGCTTCACCTTCTGGAGTATCACTAGGGCAAATCACTCCCCACTGGGACAAAGTATTGAAGAAAAAAAGAGGAAAATTAAAATCAAAAGCACAGCTCAAAGGGCTTAAGTAACCACCTAACAATAATTCAAATCAGAAAGCAAATCAAATGCAGTACTAAGAAATCACTGTCACCTGGCTCGGTTGCAATGCCCTAGGTCCACTAACTTTCCTAGATTTCTCAAATTGAGATGATATTTTTGTCATGTGGCCCAAGGTCCCTATAAAAGATAGCCTGGCTAGCACCTGGAAGTTAAGGATTTTCCACCGGTATGTCATACCACCAAGAAAACTGAAAGAATACGTACAAAAGAAAGTAAAACACAGATAGAGAAGATGTAAAATAAACCTGTGTCATGCCTTTCCTGTGCATTTTGAACCGCTTAATGTCAAAATTGCCTGTAGAAAGGGTCCTTTCTAGCCCAACAGTAATAATATCAACAAGTCTTAAAATCTATAAATTACCAACAAAAAGAACAAATCAATATAGAAGAACTAAGAAGCTTTATATGAAATATAAGACTAAAAGAATAGATCCAATCAAAACCAAAAATCTGGATTAAAATAAATGTCAATTAGAATAAAGGTTCTATGTCAATGGTTTAAGAGCACCAATCTTTCATTTAACTATATAATCTAATAAGCAATTTCATTTTCCCATGAAAATCTTCTGATAACATACACAAAAAGATTAGCCATCCACTCCCATGTCTTTCTTAGTTAAAACCTTGTTTGACTTTTAACATAAGGGTGGGACTTCCTTCCATTTAAAAGAACTTCCTTATGTCTTTTATTAGCAGAGTGGGAGCTGCATGCTTCATTTGATGGAAACTTCTTATGTTTATGACAACCTACTCAAACAGATTAACAAAATGGCCAATTTGAACTGGACAAATGAAAGACTTACGCCCATTACATGGGAAAACGAATGCATAAAACAACTAGCTAAGCCTCATGTTCATGATGACTTGCTCTAATAGTTTTTATAGAAGACTAGGGAGCATAAAATCAGTTGCAAAAAGCCAGTATAGATGACAAAATATGAAATGATGAGGAAAAAATGCAAATGGCCTTTCTAATGTGACAAAATATATGATTGCTTTCATTAATTACTTCAAGTTGACAAGGATAAGAACTCTATATAAAGAAAGTGATGGATTGCATCCAGAACCCTAGGTTTCGCAAATTCTACCACTAAACTTAAAGCTATAACATATCACTCCCTCATGCTTGGGGCAGGTTCTTTCGGAACAGCGGCAGAAAAGTAGCATGGTGCAGTAAGAAACTTTATCAACAAAATGGCATAAACAATGAAGATCAAGCACAACACAACCTTCTAGATCAAAGCCAAGGAACGGCATTCTATAAGTTGAAATCACCTTGTCTCCACTCACTAAGGAGTTATATCTATTTCAAATCTAGGTCCAACCAACCAATAAATATTACAAAAAATTAAATTCAGTAAGACCCCATTTGATCAAAAGATTCCAACTACTCCATCACTAGAAATTTACCAGACATGAAAGAGATAAAACACTACAGTGTAGTACTAGGCCACAAACTTTTCTTGTGGGGCTAACTATGTATGAAATTACAAGTAATTTACATCCTAGCTTACATGTATGATGTACGCACATATGAATAGCAAATAAAAGGTATACAATCAAAATGAGAAAAGCTCAACTTTTTCATATACAATAGATCTTCTTTCATTTACAATAGAACTTACAATGATTGATGAAGATAAGATAACTAAAACTTCCATATCTAATAAAAGAACTTCCAAAGTATAACTTACAGAATTGCACACAATAAAAGCTAAATCCATGAAAAAGATTATTAGAAAAGGGGCAAAAAACATATAGAATAATATAATGAATTACCCATGATAAAAGCTAAATTCATTAGCTATATAAGTCCCACAACCTATTGAAAACAAACATTTAATGAATAAATTACCAACATAGCAAAGTGCATTAAATTCATATCTGTATTCAATCAGTGAAGTCTTCCAACACATTTTGCAACAAACAGAAGCAGATCCTAGAAAAGGGGGCTGTGAAAAATTATAGTTTCTTACCCAGCACCAGATGTCAAAGTGATTTACAGCACTGGTAAATTGCAATTATTTCTTGAATGGCACAAGTATAACCATTTGTTTTTATGAAAGACCATAACCATTTGTTTTTATGAAAGACCCTTTCCACCAATATTGAAACAAGTTCCATTTTAATTTTCTTGTCTGTGGAAAATATCTTTGGTTCAACAGCCACGATTGATGTATAAACAATTTAACTTTTTTTAAAATATCTTGGCAAGCTCGGTTTATTTTTCAAATTACACTTTATTTTTTTGTTTGACTAGATCCTATAAATAATTTTAGAGATTATAAAAGAAATAAGAATGCAATTGAAAGGAAGGAAGAGAAGAGATAAAATTAGATAGAACAGTCAATTACTTTCAAAAGGACATAAAAGAAAATGAAACAAGAACCTTTGATTTTCCTTTTCAAGTCATACTCTTAAAGTCATGAAGAAAGCCATAAGGTTCCTTTTATCATTGCATAACTCTCATTATAATTTGTTATTTTTCATCAGTGATATATCGTAATTACCAAAAACAAAAATAAATCACAATGTATATGTTCACCACTATGAGAAAAAATTAAATAAATCCCCAACATAAACTTACTCAGATTTTCTCTTATCTATTAAGAGATGACGGTATGTTATGTGTCTAACCTTGGCTCTTCTTGCGGAGACTTAATACCTAGCTACTTATTGTTAAACTAAAAATAATCTTGAGTCTTAGGTGACATATAAACTATAGTGTACATAATCTAATCTAGTAAATCACATATGTATATATTAAATTATAATTACCAACTATAGGAACTATTTAATTGTTAACATTAGATAAAGTGTCACTAAAAAACACAAGAAGCATGAAACTGCTGAATATCACTTATCAGAGGGTCAATTGTATGCATTTATGTTAACATACATACATAAGCCTAATTAAATTCCTGAAGCATTCAGAAGAACAGTTGCACATGAATAGAAATCCAGCACTTACAAGAGAAGGGTCCAATGAGCTAGATCTTGCAGGCTTAGATAGGATAATGTCCATCCGTCTCTTAACCTCACCAATCATAGTCTTGAACAAGTCCTACAACAAAAAAACCACAGAGGAGACAGAATTATCGTGACCCATTTACTGAGGACGTAAAAATATTTTGAGGTAGTTGTAAAATCTTGAACAAACCTCAAAAAGCAGAGAAATTAATTGGCCTGACAACTCAAAACGCTTGTTCCCCAAATAATCCTATTAAACATAGAAACATCATTTATTTACATCTACATAGAGCAGCACCCAACATTAAGAAGTCTATGCATACTATCAACATAAACAATATTAATCAACTTCCATGCCTCCAGATGTTCTACTGAGTACATACTTGGTTGTCTAAGGCATCAGCCAGCCTGCTTAATCTTGTGCATGTAGACATGGGAAAAAAGGGGTTAAAGCATCAAAACCAACTAACTACTACAAAAAAAGGGTCTAGTTTCCAAAGAGAGAAGTCTAAGCCTATATGGATAAAGACACTTGGCAAGCTTCTAATCAAAAGAAGTCATCCAAACTTGGATATGAATGTCTGGCATTTTGATGTGTCCTATTGTTTGGCACACATTCTCCAATTATTAGACTTGTCAGCTAAAAAGGATCCAAAAGTAAGATACAGATATATATCTATAGCAATGAGTCATTATAATTAATTTTCCCAAATAAATAACTTTGCCAAGTATCTAGGTTTATTGATTCCTTGCGTTCCTTCAGTTTTTTCTTTGTGCAGCTTGCGGCTTGAAGTGCACAGAGACCCCTATATCACCCAAGACACAGTGCACAAAAGGTGCTTGCCTGATTGAACTGAGCCCAGGCACTAATTGTTAAAATTATTAGTGTATACATTAAAAAGAAAATTCTAATTATTATACAATAAAATTAATCTACTAGATTTTGCACACTCGCTACATGGGTGAAATAAAATGGTGATTTAAAAAAATAGAAATTCTCTTTTTATAAAAAAAATGGTGATTATAAAAATAGAAATTTTCTTTTCAAAAAAAATGAAAGTAAATGGTGATTTATCAATTCATTTCACTAACTGAGTTGATGTCACTTGACTCATGACATCAAACAAAATCAAAAGCATTATATGTAAGTATAGATGATTTTGTCAAACGCTAAAGAGTTTGATTCACTACATTGCTTAATATGTTCCAAGAATTATCGTAATTAACTGAAAGGTCATTTGACTTCAATTTTTCAATGAGCATTTATCTGTAACTCTACTTCCCCCCTCTCTCTTTGTCTTCTTCCTTCCACAATTTCACTCTCATCCTCATCTCCCTTCTGTTCTTCTTCTTTATGTATTTCATTAACCTCCCATAAATTTCACTCTCATCCTTTTTTATTAATTTACAGTCCCCAACTGTTTCAAGTCCCAAGATCTATCATTGATTTTTTTTTTTAATCAAGTGGTCCTGTCTGTCATGCAAAAAGCCATGCTCAAAATGTTGCAGCCATGTCAAACACCTTTTTCATACCAGAATGGTGCCTAGATTACATGACTGAGCAATATTGAAGATTTGGACAGTAGGTACATTTGATTGAAAAAGTAATTTTGTCAAGCTTAAGAATTGTTAGTGGAAAGTGAGTGGCCACCACAATCAGAACTCCCACACTCAGCCCTATTATTCTCTAGCAAAGCACTTGATGAGATTTTCAATTGCTCCAACCTTACAATGAGGTCAAATTCCTTTGTGATATATTAACATTTGACAGAAAGAAAGTGAAAGTACATTTATATAAAGTTGAACCAATTACCCTGTCATCCATTGCATCCTTATTTACCAATGCTTCCATCATCCGTCTCAACATCACAGCAACATACAAACATTTCGGGCGAAAATTATTGGAATGCACCTAACATAGGAGAAATCATGAACATCATTGGCAAAATTTTCCCATAATTTTAAATGCTGAAACACAACTTACAGGAACATTAGCAAGAAAGACATCACGGAGAATGGCCAAAGCTCTGCCCTCCTATAAACAATATCAAGAAATTTGGATTCTAATTATCATCAAAAGCAAAAATAGATGTTCATAGCAGACAAATTTATATAAAGAAAAAGGGAAAAAGAAAAGAAAACCTTTTCAGATGGACTATAATATATGGTTCTTTTCACCTGCAATAGGAAGCAATGGGCATGAAAAATGAACCAAATTTCTAAGGGTATAATACTCATTAAGGAATAATACTCAAAAGTATAATAACAGTATCTACAAATACACTGCTTACTTAGGATTGGAGTACAAAAAATTACTTGGACAAAAAAGCAACAAACAAGCACAAAGCAGATTCAATGGATTGAAGCACCTGATAAACCTCAAAAATAAATATGAAGTTTTCCTTCCAGACAAAAATTTATCCAAAATCTAGAAGTACTCTAAAATATGTGAAGCATATCCACTCATGCAAATAAGAAACTACCAAATCAAAGGAATTGCTATTAAGTCGGTTATCTGAAGTTAAAGTGCAAAACACCAGCAATGACTGTGGAATCTTGGGCTTCTATTGCCTGTAACAGTTGGTGGTTTCTTCAATTGCCATTATAAATCTAAGACTGATATTACAATCCAAGGATCCTTTTGTAGAAAAACTTAAATGTGCCAAAAATTCAACAAATAGCTCAACCACAAAGATAGAAAACCGGCCCAGAGTTTAGCCACTAAAAAGGTCCAAATGCCCATTAAACAATGAAAAGGTTGTAGCTAATGCCAAAACACAAAAGAAAACATTTTAGAAAAGTCCAAAAAAAACCATGTGTTATAGCATAACTTGAGTGGCATAGTGTTAAATGTTTTAAGACGTGCATCCAACCTAGAACCAATTAACAATAGGTAGAGAAACCCAACTTGAAAATAAGACCATAGGAAACCCAAGACTTAACTGATGTGGGATACCACTTAACACTCCACCTCACGTGTAGGCCTAGTACTAACAAACTTGAAACACACGGGCCTACCATGTGGACAAACACGTAAAAGAGCAACAAGCAACAAGAACAAAAACAAAATTGTCTCTGAAACCATGATAACCATCCAACCCAAAACCAATTGGCAATAAGTGGCAAGGCCCTCTATATGTATATGCTCAAGATACCCCAAACTCAACTATCTTGGATTTCTTTTTTCACAAATTTGAGACATACTTTGAGTCTTATAGTTTTATTTATTGTTTTTACTTTATATGCTTACAAATAATATAAGTTAGAAGGCCAGTAAGTAGATCACTTTGCATGTCGGTTAACATCAGCTTCCACCATTCCCATTACAAATAATTTCTTTTAGTAGTCAGCCCAATCAATCAGTATTGTAGTAATGTTCCAGAAAATTCCCAGATCAAGCAGCTGGTTTGATCATTTATGGTAAAATTAATGAAACCACTGAGTAAAATGTTGGCAAAAGCACTGCACCTGTCTGTCAAGATACTCCAAAGCTTGCTGTTGGGTATATATACCATAACTTACACATTCCTGAAATAAAACCATAGTGCTACAATAATTAGAATACTACCATAAAAGTTAGGTTAGAGTCTTGGGTAAAAAGAACGAAAAAAAGATGAGGTAACAGCCCAAATTGCACAATTTATGTGAGAGAAGCAACTACGGTGCCAATGCTTAGCAAATAAATAACAGAACACTTCATGGGCCTGTTTTGCAACCCTCGTAAGCAGTTCTAATTTGAACTAGTTCAGTATCAAATCTTGAATAAAAGGTTTCAAACTAATTGGAGTTTCATATAGTTCAAACTTTGATATTATCAAACATCAACTGCATGAAAATTTAAAAGTTGATTTTGAAACGATTTATATGATTTAAATTAGAAATAGTTCAAATTTGAAACAGTTCGGAAAGTTGTCAAACAGGGTACTATAAAAGCGTAGACAAAATATGAAAATGTTTGTTTTATGAGCACTTTGTGTACAATAACTAATCTAAGGAAAGAACACTGAGTTAGTTAAAAATCAAGATGCCAAATAAGGAAACAACTGAAAAGAATAAACAAAAAAGCACATTTCATTCCTACGAATGCAATACCACTAAAATTGATTTTTTTTTTTTTTAAAGTGACATCCAATACCCAAATAAATTCAAGTAACCCTTAGTTCAAAGTAGTAACAGCAGTCTATGTCAAATGCTTTTTTCCAATCTGCAAAGTCAAAGGCCACGTCTCCACAAAGTGTCAAGAAACTAACTTCAAAATTACAACATCCAACCACATGATTTCAAATGTATTCAATATTAGAAAGCATCGGGAGTTAAAACTAAAATACCAGTGCCAATTTGACAAGATACTATACTAGTCTAAAATCTAAGTCAAAAACTGCAAAAAGACCACAATAACAATGGCAACGAAGCAGCCATGCAAACTATGTCTGATAAGGAAGCAAGAATTGTATACAGAGAAAACAATATCTTGTTTGATGAAAGTTTCAAACATTGAACAGACAGACCAATGAAAGAGAAAGAGAAGACATGGGTAGTTATACCCATGTGTAGAAACCAACACATCCTGCATGGACTGATTCTCTGCATTCTCTGATTTAGAAGCTTTAACTCAAATGATAAACAACAGTTAGTAACATATTTTCATGTTTTTCAGTAGGTTAAGTGCCATAACAACAACAACAACAACAACAATACTGGAGATCCTTGCATCCATTGTTTAGAGACCAAAGAAAATAAGATCTAAGAATAGGAAACCAAGACGTGCCCATCCCCATATGTATTATATTGGCTAAGTTCAAGTATCCTAAATTTTGAAAACTATGACTAGTCATGATGATGCAGAACAAGTTGTGTGAAAGCACCTAGATGGCTCATGTTGAACATAGCTTTAAAAAACAAGAGATTTTTTGGGATTGCATTTTGGATAAAGGGCTTCAGGCTGCATGGATGAAAGGATAGAATTAAATGAAGATATCAAAAAAAAAACCTGGAAAACCAAGATAAGCAGTTGTATTTAGAGATTAGAGAATCACCATAATTTCAACCTCATTAGCCATGGAAATAATGACACCTTCCCATCAACAAATATGCATTTGCTGCTACCTCACCTTTTACCAATAAAAAAAATATATTTTCCATATTCATCTCAGCCACAATTATATTATGCACAAGATATTTACCAACCACTTAACACTAAGTCCCATGAAGCATGATCAATAAGTGAAATCTCATGTTTCATTCCCAAGTAATCAAGCAATCTATAACTAAAGTCTTTTATATTCTTTCTTTGAAGACAAAGTTTATGATCCTTTGAATTCTTGACCACATAAATTACCTCAATAGAAGGTAAAAGCATGGCACTCAATAGAGGATCTCTTCCAACCATCTGCACAACCTCCTGATCACACTCCAGCCCCATTGCTTTCATGACTACCATAATTGGAACCTGTAGAAAACAAACAGAAATAAATCCCAGCCAACAAGTCATAGAAGAGGAAAAAATATACATGAAAAACTGAATAAGGAAAAGACAGATGGTGCAAGAAAAAGACCTTTTTCACAAATTGATTGAGATATAAATATATCTTCCCTTTCTCCATTTGAATAACTGTTTTGCTTTTTATTATCTCTGTGCTGCTTGTCACAGATGCATTTATACTGAAGACAGAATAAAGAAAGAAAAGTTTCATAAATATAAATGAAGGAAACATAACCACCAACACTACAAATTGGAAGAATTTTAAAAGGTGATATAAAATTAATAAAACTAGACACCCTTCCAATGGAGCAGCAATTAAAATAACAAACATGTAAGCAAAACATATCAACTGGAGAAATATGACTAAATCTCTAAGTACTCAACTTAGTGATAACAATACAAAAATGAATAGCTTTATATATGATATAAGAATGTAAGCACCACAAGTTGTACAGTGTTCACATTTACTACATAATCTGTATTACTTTGAGACATATTCATAAACTCAATTAAGGCATTCACTACAAGCATCAAAATCATAAAATCTTAGATAGAAAAGAAGAATCCTCTTTAATCTGTGTTTTCACATAATCTAATATTCCAAAAACTTGTGCAATCAGTTGTTGAAGAATTAAACTGCCTTTTATGATTACTGTAAAGTCCAAAGGCATTTCATAAGTTAGCCATGGGGCTCAATAATGTCTGCATGCCTTCAAACAATCCTTGAAATATTCCCAAATATCTAATAAGGTTTTATCTTATCTTTCTAAAAAGATCAACTACTCTGCAAAGGGAGCTGATGAAAATTGTATGTATAATATGAAAGGAATCAGACATACTACTTGCAAGAAAAAGTTGGCACAAAGAAACATACAAAAAATTCATAACAAATTTATTCACTTCCAAAACCACCTTTTATATAAATTAACTTCTTAGTACTAGTGCAGCATCTGTTTTTACATCACAAACTCAAAAGTCAAAATACTTCCAGAAGTATAAATTGCATGCAAAACCGTGTAAAAAAGGATGTGGATCGTGTTTTACACACAAAAGGGTCACATTCACACGTTATACCCCCACCAAACTACTGCTCAATTAAATTGCATTCACTCCCTAAGTGCGCATCCACAATCATTCCTCTTATCCAAAGACTAATCATTGTAGAGAAAGACCTATCAAAGTATATTCCGGTTTATGATAATACAATGGTTTTTAAAAGGCATTAGATTTTAGCACATGACTATTAAATAACAATAACATTTATTAACTCAATTGAAATAAAAATTACAAATAAAAATTTCAATTGGTAATATTAACTTTTTTATACAAGTAATTCCAATTGAGAACAATTACGTATCTAAACATAAAAAAGATAAGTACTCATGTGCTTATGAATCATAAATTGTTTCCAATGAATATTGTTAATTATGAAGCCATTAAAAAGATGTGTCACCTCTGTTAAAGCTATATATTTATAAAATAAAATTTAAAAAAAAAAAAAACCTCAATGATCACACTTGCATATTAGTCAAATCTTCTCATGAAATGTTCTTAGACCATCACATAATAAAACAAGAAAATTAGGCACATACTTGAACTTCATTTTTGGATAAATTTTTCTTTTTGCAGTAGTTTGCAGAGCCATATCTTCAGTTTGTAATACTAACATAAACCTTGTATAATTACAAACAAATGAAATGAGCCTTTAGCAACAAACTAAACAAAACATCTAAGATGACAGATGACAAGCAAACGACAAACAAATAACTGGAGAAAATCAGATAGTAATATATATAGGAAAAGATGTATTAAAATTAAATAAAAAAAAACTCACATCCCCTTTTTGTCTGTATCAATAATCATTCTATTCTTTGAAAGTTGTTCTTGTATTAAAATCACCTGGAGAGCATGAAAGCATTATTATATGATGGTGAAAAGAAAGTAAAAATGAAAGCAACAAAAAATTTCTTTTGTTCAAATTGTGGGATGATATGCTAATTGATGCCAAGGAGCAAAAATTTTAGCAGTCAAAATCACCTTTTCTGTTCCTTTGATAATAAAATACCCTCCAGGATCAAGGGGGCACTCACCTGAAGTCAAACAAAAAGAAAAGGGGAGATAACAAAAAATAATATTTACAAAAGATTACAAATTCATTAACAATAATTAACAAGAAAACAATCAGCCCACTATTTCAACTTTAAGCAAACAAACCAAGTCTTGCTAGCTCAGTTTCATCTTTTCCATATAACACGCAGCAACTACTCCGCAACATGATAGGCATTCGTCCAATAATAAAATCATTCTGCAAGACCAAAGCTCATATTATATCCAAAATGTCCATTGTCTACCAACCATCCACCTCCAATCACATACCAAAAGACAACGAAAGAAAATCCTTTGCATTACCTTTACCATTCTAGTTTTTTGACCATGACTTTCGTGGATGTACTCTATATCGACCAATATTGGTGCAGCATATCTAAAATTGACATTACACAACACATTAAAACAATAAAAACCAACAAAGATGATGAAATTCAATAAATATAGCACGTAACTGTTTAAATATTAAAAAATCAAATATATGGTTTACTTCAAGTTTCTTCTTGTGGGTGTTGAGGCATGTCTTATCATGCTGTGTTCATGACATGATTCTAGACTGAAAAAAGGCTCTGATCTAATGGTGGGGTAAGGGATATGCTACATTAATACTGTGTGACCCAAATGCCTTTGTTTTGTGACCTAGGCTAGAGAAGGTATTTGTTGGTCTTCTGGAATATTTACTGCAAGGAGGAGCTTTATATGGCCCAGGTGGCCACAATTTCCAAACTTCCCGCTTCCTCTTGATTTGTAATTTACATGACCTCTCCTCCATCTTGACTTGTCAAGTGAGAGAGGTAGGAAAAGGAAAGAAAGGAAAATGGGGTTTGATCAGAAGAAAAAGGGAAATTAAATTGCCCTTTGAGTTGTATTATTTACAAGTATGCTCTGTCCTCGGTGAATCTCTAGTTGATGTTGTCTTGCATGTTTGCTCTGTTCCTGATGACTCTCAAGGGGTTGCTATATTGCTTACTAGTGAGTGTGATGTTGCTTTATATTTCCGGAGGATATTGTCTACTATGTTTGGTGTTGTTTAATGGTTAAACGTTGTCCTGTATGATGTTGTTAGGCATTGTTTTCTGTTTGTGGTTAAATGTTGTTTTATGAGCTGTGAATTGCGCCATTATGTGTGGGTGTTATCTAGTGTAACAATCTGGTTTCATTAGGTGCTTTTGTATGGACAAAACCTAGTTGGATTACTGTTTTTTTTACCACACCTTTGGCTTTTCCAAGGTATTGTATTAACTCTGTGATACTTAATAATATACCACATTTGATTGAGCAAAAAGAAAACTAAGTCAAAGAAGCTCTAAGATCAAACAAAAAACCGTTAAACCTAAAACCTAAACCAGGGTGAAAAATATTATTAAGTCTTAAACTCTTAAGAAAAATAAATGCACACTTACGTCATGTTAGATAACCGGCATTCATGGGGATTAAGTTTTTGCATAATTGCATTAACCACCATGGAAGGTTTACCTATTCTGACATCCTTAAACCTGCAATAAAGCATAATTCAATTATATCTAAAAGATGCATGTTTATTGTGTGTCTCTGTGAGAAAGAGAGATAAAATACCCACATAAAACAAGGACAAAGAATGACAGATATCATCAAACACCATCTTATTATGTAAATTGGACAAAAAAGTAACCCCAAATAACTAAACTTACATGATAAGCATTTTGTATGTAAGATGACTTATCTTAAATGGACTCATTCCTGATTTTCCTTTTTTTTTTTTTGACAAGTTTTATCTTTTTAAAGCACAAGGACTCATTCCAGATAACCACTTTGAATCTCAAAGTGCAAGAAAAGAAGAACAAATAGAGTCATTTCCCACCATACACGGATCATATTCCGCACTGCTCTGTACATGCTTAATGTAGCTGACCCAAAGATTAGAAAACAGCTTTATTTGCTGTTGATATTGTATTTGGAGATTCAAAGTGGTTGCATTAAATGGAGCTCTTTAAGATAGACCATCCTATATAGAAAAATGCTAACCACATTATTTAGTTATTTTGAAATGTTTGTGATTATATTTAATGGAGCTATTCAAGATCAATCATCTTATATACAAAAATACTAACCTTTTTTTTTTTTTGAAAAGCAAAAATACTAATACTAACCATGTTAATTAGTTATTTTGAAGTGTTAAGAGTTCTTTTTTCCCTTTTAACTTCAAATTTTCAAATGATTAGCTAAATATAATCAAGTAGATAAGTATTCACACAAAGAAGGAAAAAAAAGACACCCAAAAAAAAAACCACACAAAACACTTTTACCTGACATAAATACTTGGATCGACCCCTGATACAATCTGATGATTGGCTTGCACTATCTTCTTTATACCAGTATTTACAAAGTAATTAAACGAATCCAAGTGTTGCTTCACCAATCCTCTTATCTAAATCTCCGCATTGAAAAACAATTAAAAAGAAATCATCATAATCATGTTAAATGAGGTTCAACTACTATTAGAAACATCTTAAAAGAATGTACCTTCAAAAACTCAGGGATCAGTTGGAACTTATCAACAGCAAATTTTATAGGAGAAGCAAGCTTTTGCTTGTCAAGATATTGATCACCAACATACTGAAATGAATTTTGGGTGTTTGATCTTTCTCGCTCTAGACACATTGATCAATTCCTATAATTATCCTGCAAAAAAAATAATCAAAGGAATATTCCATTTTAATGAAAATAAAAATAAAATTGGACAAAATTGAAAATTACTGACAGTCCTATTAGAACAACCCAAAAGATTAAGACTTGAGATTCTAACAACTTGAAAATTTAAAACTCGATTCCTGAAATGAGAGGTGTAAAAATTATAATACAGAAAAAGAAAACCTCCAATTATAAGAATTTTATGCGCCAATAGTGTTTAATTACGAATTTTTATCATTACGAAAAATTGGTAAATAAGCAATCTTACTGCACCTTCTCTCAAAACGAGTCCCCAGTTTGAACTTTTTTTCCCCAAATTAAAAGGTTTAGTGAATTTTTTTTTAATCCATAATTAAAAGATCGAATCTGAACTTTTGAGTTAAAAGAATTATAGAACACTAATTTCTTTTTTTTGTCACATGTTTTCATGGAATAATCAAAAGCTCTAAAAAATCATAAACCCCAACCTAACCCTAAAAGTAAAAATTAAACAAAAAAATGGTAATTATGGTTTCACCTTCGAAAGCAGCGATTTCTTAAAAGCAATCAAGGAAAAATGTGAGAGAGGAACCAGACCAAATGTAAAGCTCAGAGAGAGGAAGACGAGTGTGATGGGGAAAATTGAGAAAAAAAAAGACAAAAAAAACGAGTCGTCAGGGAAAGAGGAAGACGGAGAAGAAGAATGTGAACTGAGGAAGGCAAGAACCTTAAAGAGGTTGCTGCGTGGGTGCGCGCCAAAGAGGAGAACAGGGCTTTTTTTATAGTTTTTTGTATAAGAATTTTTTATGGATAGTTTAATTGCGCAAATTCTGGAATCTAATTCTAGGCTAACTCTACTGCAAAATTAATTAAAATAATTTTTTTAAAAATAATAAAAAATCTATTTAATAAGTTAACAGCTAAACAAAATGAATAATTTTTAAACTTGTTTATTTTATATGAATAATATAGATAATTTTTAAATTAACTTACTTTATTTTAAATGTTATTTAATTTTTATTTTTATTTTATTTTTTACTTCAAAATATAAGAATATTATTATTTTTAATACTAACATTATATCTATCTAATTTAATTCACTTAAAATTATTATTATTATTATGACTTATTATGTTAAATCTTACACGCTTACGTCAATATTTTAACAACATCTATTTCACCTTTATAATTTTTTAAATAATTCTTACTGCTTTATATTAAAGTTTTTTAACTATTAACTTTCACAATAATTATTTTTATCTTTACTATTATTCATTCATAAATTAAAACTTATAAGCCGTAAAAAACTTTAAACTTAAGAATAAAAATTAAAATATTTAATTTTTAAAAATTATGTTTATTTTATATAATTAATTTATTATATTAAATTTTACATATTTACGTTAATATTTTGACAACTCTTGTTCCGTCTTTATAATTTTTATTACTTTATGTCAAAGTTTCTCAATTAATAATTTTCACTATAATTATTTTTATCTTTACTATTATTCATGCTTAGATTAAAATTTATAAACCATAAAATACTTAAACACGAAAATAATAATTTAAAAGTTTAATTTTTTCAAAAATTATATTTATTTAAAATAATTGACTTATTGTGTTAAATTTTATACATTTACATTAATATTTTGACAATTTTTTCACCTTTATAATATATTAGGTTAATTCTTATCACTTTACCAGAAATGTTTTTCAACTACTAATTAATACTATAATTATTTTATTTTTACCATTACTCATCCATATATTAAAATTTGTAAGTCATAAAATACTTTAAATTCAATAATAAAAATTTAAATTTTTAATTTTTTCAAAAATTATGTTTATTTGACATAATTAACTTATTACGTTAAATCTCACATATTTACATTAATATTTTGAGAATATTTGTTCCACTTTGATAGTATTTTATGTTAATTTTTACTACTTTATGTCAAGGTTTTTCAACTACTAATGTTTACTATAATTTCTTTTTTTTATACTATTATTCATGCATAGATTAAAATTTGTAAGCCGTAAAACACTTTAAACTCGAGAATAACAATTTAAATATTTAATTTTTTCAAAAATTATGTTTATTTTACATAATTGACTTGTTACGTCAAATCTTACACATTTATTTCAATATTTTGATTTTTTTATACTTTTATAATATTTGATGTTAATTCTTATCACTTTACCTCAAGGTTTTTCAACTATTAATTAATATTATAATTATTTTATGCTTACTATTACTCATCTATACATAAAAATTGTAAGCCATAAAACACTTTAAATTCGAGAATAAAAATTAAAATAATTAATTTTTTTGAAAATTATGTTTATTTGACATAATAAACTTTTTTTTTTTATAATTGGGGGAAGGGGGATTCAAGCTCTACTTTTTAGGCAAGGAGATAATGTACCAACCAATGACTTATTACATTAAATCTCACACATTTACGTCAATACTTTGACAATCCTTTTTCCATCTTTATAATATTTACGTTAGTTCTTATAGCTTTACATTAAGACTTTTCAATTACTAATTTTCGCCATAAGTCTTTATATCCTTACTATTATTCATGCATAAATTAAAATTTGTAAACTGTAAAACTCTTTAAACTCAAAAATAAAAACTCAAATGTTTAATTTTTCTAAAAGTTATGTTTATTTGATATAATTAGTTTGTTGTGTTAAATTTCACACATTTAAATCATTATTTTTACAATTCTTTTTTCACTTTTATAATTTTTACATCAATTCTTACTATTTTACGTCAAAACTTTTTAACTACTAATTTTTATTGTAATTATTTTTATCTTTACTATTATTAATGCATAAATTAAAACTTATAAGCCTTAAAACATTTTTATGTTTATTTGAAGTAATTGACTTATTATGTTAAATCTCACATATTTACATCAATATTTTAACAATTCTTTTTCCACTTTTATAATTTTTTATGTTAATTTTTACCGATTTACGTCAGGGCTTTAAAGGTACATCAAGCCTTGAAGAAAGTTAGATGCTATGATGATGTTGGACCTATGGCAGCACACACACTCACTCAATGCTGTTGGAAGTGATGCAGCAGAAGGCTAAAGGCAGTGTGCACCTAGACTCAAAGGCAGAATCAAATCTGTCTGAAGCACATACACAAAAGCTAAGAACCATAAAACATGGCTCAACTTAATTGCATTTGCATTTGATTCAATCTACTACAAGTATATATAGGCAGAGTAGTGAACAAGTCTTCAACTTCTCCCACTAAGTCTGCTGCATTGTCTACAATAATGCACACTATGAACTAATATCCTAACATAAAGAAATATAAGCTGATATTACAAAGCATGGGAACTTGATACAAAGGTCAAATGATATCAGAAAACCATAAGCCTGAGCTATGCATTCCCTATGCAGCAGGATAAGAGAATGAACCAAAAATATCATAATGATAGATAAGTTCATTAGCTATAGGCGGTAACCTGTGCTTATCAAATATGTGACTTGAAGCAATTATACTTAAAAAAGAAACAAAGTCACACTCGATTGAGGCAGTAGTAACTTTTCTGCAAAGAAGCTTGGTGAATGAAATGCAATATCACCAGCAAAACCATAATCTGGTTGGTCAAACAAAGTCTGGTTGCAGCATAGCTAGCCATTCCTTCAACAGAGAGTTTCTGCCTTCAAAACCATAATCCTAAATCAAAAAAGCTTTCAAATGTAGAGAATACCAAACTTTCATTTGGAATTTTAAATATTAGTCAAGAATGCCTTCCGATGCTATGGCAGCAATGCCTAATGTTATAAATGTCATTAACTACGAATAAATCAAGTGTTAATCCCTCAATGGTTTTTAAAAAGTTGCAGCAATAACCTTTACCCATAAACACATTATTTTTTGTCATCACGATCTTGTCAGATTCAAATAACACTTTCACCTCAACCTTACCTAATAAGGCCACAGATACCAAGTTTGCCCTTATATTGGGAACATGAATAACATCATTCAGAGCTAGGGTCTTGCCAGATGTGAGCTTGAGAAGGACTTTTCCTTTATCAAGAACTTGAGCAGTTTGAGAATCATCAAGGTATATTGTCTCTTCTCCTTCCCCTATTTGAGTATAGGAGGTAAAGGCATTTCTATTTGTACAAATATACCTAGTAACACCTAAGTCTACCACCCAGTCCTTCACACTAGCCACCATATTTACTTGTGAAATGATCGCAGCAATTACATCATCGAACTCATCTACTTTGACCAAGTTGACTCTTGGATTAGCAGGTTTGTCATTTCCCTTTGCTCTTTTCTTGCATTGTGCTGCACGATGCCCTAGCTTTCCACAAACAAAGCAACTACCTTTCTTTTTGAAGGTGGGATGAAGAGCTTTGGATTTATGATCAGGTTTATAGGGGTACCTTTGTTGACGCTGGGTTTTACCTTGTACTAAGTTGGCTTTAGTTGCAACTTCCTTAGCTTTGGAGGCCTTTATCTCCCTTCGGGTTGTGTCTTCAATAATGATGTGCACAATCAAATCTGCAAGTGACAATTGTTTTTCCTTGTGCTTTAGTTGTTGCTTGTATCCATTTTAAGATTCTGATAGCTTCTCAATCAACAACCCAGTAACGAACTCTTCTTACAAGTTGATTTTTTCAGTCTTTAAATCATCCACCAGTTTGTGGTATTTATAGATTTGACTTTTGATGTCCTTATCATCAGTCATCTTTCCAGCGATAGAAGATGCCAATCACAAACTTCTGTTTCCCAACATCTTCAGTAGTGTATTTAGCAATCATTGACTCCCATATTTGCTTTGCTTCCTTATAATAGAAAGTGTGCTAATAATTGTATGCCTGCATACCTTATGCGCGTGCATCCATGGTTCCAGCATCTTAACATCATCTGGCTTGGAATCGGTTAGCGCAAAAGCCACCCCATGAACATCAAGGATTGAAAAAATCCTCTTTTGCCATCTTTTGAAGTTTCTGCTATCAAAGACTTTTATTTAAAAATATCTGGAAATGGTTTGGCATATGAAGCCGAAGGCATAGGAGGAACGGTCAATGCAGTGGGAGCCATGGTGGAACCATTTACAGCGGTCGTGGCAGTAGGGGTAGAGGCAACAGTAGGAATAGTGGCAGTAGCATTATTGACGTGGGAATCCATTATCCTTAAGATTGTTAGAGGTGATTATAAAAAATATAAAATATAAAATAAAATAAGTAAAAATAGTAAGAGGAAGTTTGAGGCGTGGTATCATTGTCCTTAAAGATAATTTTTGCTCTTTCGGAGGATGAAACTCAGTGCAAAAGGACTGTAGCGATTATCTTCCAGGATTCAACAGACTCGTCCTTGGTAGTTTACACAAACTATTAAGGGTTGAACATGAACAACAGAACAAAAAGAAAGAACCTAGTTATCGAAGGAAGGAGGCAAAGAAAGCTTAGAAGATGATAAGCTTTTTAGTGTGTATTGAGAGTGAAGGTGTGAGGCTGTATTTATAAGCATGGAGTAAGGTGAACGTTGCACCAAATAAGGTGCGTTGAACCAGATTAGGAAGTTGAGAAAAAAACTCAAGGAGTTAGAGAAAAACCTGGTCATCTTATTTACTGAGTCAGATAAACTTTGAAAAGGTAGGTAGAGTTTTAGTATGATTCAATCAAAGCTAAAAACTTTAAAAAAAATTAATGCCTAAGTTCACTTGGACATAGCCCACGTGTATGTTCGCGGGGAGGGAAAATTTGAAATTTCTCAAGGTTTGACACATTTTTGTGTGCGCGCGAACCCACTACATTTTCTTTGTTTGCAACGAGCTCATAGTGTGTTTTCATATATAAAGTCTTCACCTTTTAAGTATCTTGATAATGTAGGATGTTTGAATCTTATGAAATGTATTATTTTCCAACACTTTCAACCAAGGCTGTTGTGCAGGGTATATGCTTGACAAACAGGATAAACCATGCAATGGTAGTAATCTTGGACTCCTGAAGCTTAGGCTTCATTACGGATCAGATTTTTTTTTAATATTGTCTTTGGTTCTAAAAGCAAAGCAACGAATACTCTTGCTTTTGCACTTAGGCTAGCTGGCTCCGGAGCATTAGTAGAGAAATGCAACTTTCTTTCTTCAACGCACAATTCCTTTTAATTCTTTGTTTTCTGAGAATCCTTCTTAATGCTTTATTTTGGTTTCTTAGCACTCCTTTTGCCTTTCCCTCAGGATGACCTAGTAACACTGCAGTCGCTGCACGCTATCTGCTTTGAATTTTTTTTCTTTTTCTTGTGAGTGTAGATTGGAACTAGTTTGATACATTAAGGACACAGATCAATGCCGTTTGGAAAAGATGAGTATCATATCCTCTTTCATTCAATAAGCTGGACTACCAGACAGTTCAGACAATTCTTTGTTAATTGTCATAAAACTATTTCTATGACATTTGTGAATTGTTTTTTGAACTTCTCATCGACTTCCATGAGCGTAGACTGATTAAATTTATACTTGCCATTTCATATTGTAAAAGGAAATTATGATGTGCTATAACACAGATCGCAGATGTAAGGTTGAACAGTAGCCCCAAAAGTATAACTTCAAGTTTGGCAATGATCATATCCTGGGCAAACCATTCCCACCTTAATGCATTCCCCCATTTTCTATATCTCATCTGAGCCGTCTGCTATTAAGTGGAGAAAAGCAACCAACATTGTGCAACATTCCACACGCAGAAAAGTCCATTTTGGCCTACATAGTATAGCTGGGATAATTAAATAATAGATACGGTAGGAGATCTTAAGGGGAAATTAGATTTGATTATTTTAGTGTACGATCGAAACTTCATTAAAGAAGAAAACCATATCTAACAGAAGTTTGAAAATCAAAAACTTTGATATTACAATTGTAGGCATCTTATGCAGTATGACACGGTATTCTTTCGGATTGAGCCCCTCCTCGCAATTACCAACCATCCAGTCTGCTTCTGACTTAGATTACAAAATGTTTTTACTGATTAAGGATTCCAACCCAAACCATGCAGACCTTTAATCCAAGAACACTCTCCAATATTTAAGACAATTTCTCAAAATGGAGTGGAACATGAAAATCCAAGCCCCCATATGGATTTCCCGTCCAACAGAACCTAACTATATGGTTCAGAATGCAGAGATCCCAGATAATAATTGTTGTTCAGTTTTGCCTTATCTCTTGAAGCATTTCCACTACCTTCTTCATTTTCGGTCGCTTGGCAGGTGTGCTGTCAGTGCAGAGTAACGCCACCTTCAAAGCTGCAAGCATTTCTCTCCGCCAACCAAAGGAAACAGTGCTAAGCCTTGCATCAAGTATCTGCTCAGGGGTTTCACCTCTTGCTGGAGCACCATGAACCCATTTCACCAAGTCTACTCCCTCACCAAAATCCTCATCAACTGGTAATCGAGTGGTGAGGATCTCAAGCAGCACAACCCCATAACTATAGACATTTCCTGGTGCAGTGACTTGCATTGTATATGCATATTCTGGATGAAAAATATAGAAATATAAATAAATAGAAAGCAAAAAGATTAAGCTATACAGGGACAAGAACAAAACCAGGGAAGTAAATGTTACACCATATTATACGGTAATGCTCATTACCTGGGGGAATATACCCAAAGGAGCCGGCCACAGCACTGATACTTGCAGTACCTTTGGATGGATCTAAGAGCTTTGATATTTCTATCTCCCCAACCAATGGCTTTAAGTCTGCATCTAAAAGTACATTTCCAGAAGAGATATCAAGGTGGATAACTGCAACATGATGAAGGAAAGCCAACCCTTCGGCTACACCAATGGCAATAGATAGTCTTCTGGGCCAGTCAGGCTGATATTCTGACTGCTTTGAGGACTCATGAAGAAGTTGAGCTAGTGTTCCATTGGGTAAATATTGATGCAACAGAAGAGCAACATCTTCATAGATGACAAAACCAATAGGTCGTACAAGATTATCATGATAGAGCTTGCTTAGTCTTTCGAGCTCCCTAATCATCTTGTTCTGGTGATGAATTATGGTTCTGTCCATGGACTTCAGCCTCTTCACTGACAAAACCAATCCAGAAGGCATAACTGCCTTGTAAACAGTGCTGAAAGTCCCATTGTTGATCTTATTTGAATCCTTTAAAGTGGCTTTGATTACAGCATCAAGATCTACAGCCTGCCTGAGATTCTCAACGAACACATTCCCAGCTATTATTGTTGGTCGGCTACTGGTTCCTTCATCTACAATGCCTGCACTTTTTGCTGCCTTTTCTTGTCTCTCCCTCATCATAAAGAGCAGAACCACTACAGTGACTGATATAAAAACTGCAAGACCAGAACCAATAACAGCTAGTATAATCCTGTAAGATACCCGATGGTGGTAGTTTGCCCGGTCAGAAACAATAGAGTTTGCACAAGAGAAGCTCAATGGATCCCCACAGAGCCCTTTGTTTCCTTGGAAGCTTGAATTTGGACTCTTCTGGAATGGTACAAATGTGGGTATAGGGCCAGAAAGCAGATTATTTGAGAAATTAACCTCAATCAAGCTCAACATGCCCTTAAATGCTGGTGGAATATTACCAGTAAGCTGGTTACTGGAGACATCCAGAGAAACCAACTTGTCCAGTTTCCCTAATTCTGCAGGCAGTTGACCATGAAGATGATTGAAGCTCAAATTTAAAGCTATCTGCAAGTTGCGAATACGACCAATATCAGGTGGAATACTTCCAGTCAAATAGTTGCTCCCAAGCTGCAATTCAAGCAGTTTCACACAATTTCCAATCTCATGAGGGATTTCCCCTTTGATTGAATTCTGACCCAAGAGCAAGTACTGCAATCTTGTCATATTGCAAATTTCATTTGGTATGGTACCATTAAACCTGTTGTTGCTTAAATCGAGCTTGTTAAGATTCTTGCACCCAAGAATTGATCTTGGAATATCTCCAAACAGACTGTTTCCAGAAAGAATCAACTCTTGTAGATTCATAAGTTGTCCGATCTCAGAAGGAATTATCCCAGTAAATCCATTATAGGCTAAATTTAGGAGTGTAAGATTAGTACACTGAGCAAACTCTGAGGCAATTTCACCAGACAGATTGTTATTATCTGCTTCAAAGTATGTGAGGCTACTAACATTTCCAACTGTCTTGGGAGTCACACCAACAAGTTTGTTATTCCCAATTCGAATGCTAGAAAGGCCTCCGCAGTTACCAATTGATTCAGGAAGATCACCAGTAAGTCCGTTCTGAGTCAGAACCAAAACTTCCAGCTTCCCCATGGCAAAAATGCTCTTCGGTATTGGCCCATCAAGCTGGTTTGAATGAAGGTTCAGCAATTTAAGTTCAGAAACCAAGCCTAGATTATCAGGAATCTTACCGCCTAATTGGTTCTCATAGGCTGTAAAAACTCTCAAATTGGTCAAACGGCCTACCCAATGTGGAATAGAACCACTCAATCTATTGCTAGAAATATGAAAGTCCTGCAACTTTTCTAGGCCTTGAAGTTCTTCAGGTATCTCTCCTATAAGTAAGTTATTGGACAAGTTCAATGATCTAAGGTTTCTAAGACCACCAAACTCCACTGGAATATAACCTTCAAACTTATTTAATGACAAATCAAGATATTCAAGGTCTGACAAATTTCCCAATGCTGAAGGAATCGGTCCGTTTAAGTTATTATAAGAAAGGTCAAGCTGCTTCAATGATTTAAGATTGGAGATTAGAGTAACATTACCTCTAAGCATACGCCGAGAAAGATCAAGTCTTTCAACAAAGGAATGGTTCAAACCACAATGAATGCCTTCCCAGTTGCAGTATTCGGTGTTGTTGTCACCCCAATCTGCTACACCACCCAGCTCTTTGTTAATGGCTAACAATGTAGCTTGGTCATTGAGCTGAGCATCCACAAGAAATGATTTTGATAGAAACCCAACTAACAAAAATGAGAAGCACAGAAATGCCATTATTTTAGCTTATCTTTAATAATTACACAACTGACTCTTCTTCAATACAAAATCTCAATAACATCACTTCCTGATTACACCCACTTTGCTTTTCAATGTTTCCTTCCGTTTTTTGGCCTCCAAATCTCAAATTTTGGAGTGAAAAAGCGGTGAGGAAAAGAAAAGAGAGACAGACAGAAAAAGGAGACCAGAGAGAAACGAAAGAGAGGAAGGACGGAAAAAAAGAAACGAGGAAGGAGAACAGGAAACACGCGGAGAAGGGCGGAACGAGAGAAAAAGGAGGAGAAAGGGAAGACAAGAAAAAAGAAAGAAAGGGAAAAAGGAAAAGAGGAAAGAAAAGAGTAAGAAAAGAGAAGAAAGGAAAAGGAAGGCGGAGTAAAGAGCAGGGAAAAAAGGAAGGGGAAGAATGAGAAGGAGAGGAAAAGAAAAGCCGTGCCCGAAGATTTGGGATTGGAGAAAACGGAAGGGCATTGAAGCGAGTGAGGTGTTATCGAATGATGTTTTGAGTTTTGGTATTGAGGTCGGTAGTATTGGGGGGTTGTAGGGGAAAGAAAAGGAGGAGAAGAAGGGGAAAGAAGACGTAGAAGAAAAGGAGAGGAAAAAAGAAGAAAAGAAAGAGGAAAAAAGGAAAGGACAAGGAAAAGAGAGAAGGAAGAAAGAGGAGAAGAGCAGGAAAGAAAGGGGAACGAAAAAAGGAAAGAAAAGAGAGGAAAAGGTGAGCTTGGAGCTAAAGATACCACCTCCGTATTGATCAAAGCATCACAGTTTACAAAAATGGGACTACCCAGAGATAAAAACCCAGATAAGATCAACTTTTTCCAAGAAAATCCATTAAAGATTGTCAGAATCCTAGCAGTGAAGAAGAACCAAGCAACCCCATAGACTTAGGAAAAGAAAGGATTCCCAGGAATGATTACAGCGAGAGAGAGAGCCAAAACACGAAGAAAGAAACAAAAGAGAAGGGATATTATCATAGAACTTGGGTTGAAAGAGGAAATGAAGGGTAGTTGGGCATGTTAGTCTAGATCAAAGACGATGATCAGATTTTTGCAGAAACCAAAACAAAGCAAAGAAGGCAAAAGGCTAAAAGTAGGGTGAAGGGAAGAGAATGAGTAATCAGTAAGGAGAGAGAGAGAAGAGTACAGCCAAAGAGAGAAAGAAAAACAGGAGACAATGTACTATGCTTGGGTACAGGTGTTTTTGGAGAGAGAGATTTGCGGGTCTGAAAAAGAAAAGAATACTTTGTCACGTAAGCCTTTTTCACGAGAAATGGGCAGTGATGAGTGAATGAAGGCTGCACTGCTTCAAGCCCTGTCTCTCTCTCTCTCTCTCTCTCTCCCAGACTGGACGAGACTGAAAACTGAAAAGTGTCATGGGACATGATACTGCCAAGGATATTTATTACGCCAAGGATTTTTTTTTCTCCGCACAGAAAAGAAATTTAAGTTTTTTTTTTTGCAATATTATTATTCATATTGACAACACTTTTTTACAATTTTATAAACAAAATTAAAATATTATCATTTTTTTAATTAATCCTATTAATTTGTTGTTACTATTTTTAGAAACAGCTTACAATTATGTAATAATCATTTAACATTGCTTTTAGAATTTAACCACGCATAAAATAATAATTATTTATAAACTATAAATACTACTAACAATTTCTATCATGTATGGGTTTAGTTTAATTTTATGTTGATTTTGTATGATTTATTTATTAATTTCTTTCATGGATAAAATATTTGATATTATTTTATCATAAGTTTAATTTCTTCATATGTAATGTAATATGTAATATCATCAAGAAAAAAGAATATGCCATTAAAATTCAAATTGTATTGCCCTAATAATCCAAAAAAGATTGTACACAATGAGGAAATTAGGGAAAGTGAGTAGAAATCCAGCCTTGGAAAAACAAGCTTTCCAGAACCCAAGAGGCTATTTCCCAAAATTATTATTGATTTTGAGAAGAAAACAAAGTTGTACATAACCTAGAATTCCCCACTTGGTGTGGAGGACATAATATATTCCCATATGAAATTTATAACTCCTAGTGGACAATATTTCCCATTGCAATTTTCTGTCAAATTACCTATTCATATCATAAACCAGTGCTCAACCTTCACTTAAAAAATAAAAAATAATTTATAGTTTTGAATGAATTGAGTTATAAATTCCCCTCTCACAACATTCACATTTAGTTGTAGCAAAATGTGTCAAAAATACAAGATTGTTAGAATTATGCAGAACTTGTGGGATCAGCTACTTCGAGCTTTGATTTGTCTCACTGAAGGGCCCCCTAGAGACGTCCCAATTAAGAGGGTCCTAATCAACAATGTAACATGATGATTAGATACATGTTGGTTTCATTTTTTATCTGGCCATCGGACCAAATCCACTGTTTATTGGTCTAAATCTGTCTCCTCTGCTTATCGGTGTGTCATTTTGGTGAAGGGGAAATCAACTCTTGCTTTTTCGTTTGACAAATTTTGTCCTTGGACTTTTGAAAGTTTAATTAGCATACGTTTAAACAAAGGAAGTGGAATCTGAAATCAACTCTTGCTTTTTCATTAGACAAATTTTAACTGTCCATTGATTATTTCTTTTTTACTCAATTAAAACTGAGATTTTATTTGTGTTCCCGGAAGAGAACTGATTAAGAAAGGACCTGTTCAGTCCTTTGAAGATTGTAGAGAGGCATCACATCCACCCCACCTAGGCATGAGAATTCTCAAATATAGGGCATTGAGCTCCAACATGAGCACCTTATTGGGACAGAAAACCTCATCAACAGAGGAGGAAATTTCTGATATCTAGTAAATTGCTATATATTGTGCTTGGAGAAAATAATGTGGAGATGACGGGGCTGTCAAATACGATGTGTGGGACAACCCATTGGTCCAAGATTTTGCACAATGTTAAAAGAATTGGTGGTTAAAAGGTTAAATCTCTTAGTCCTGTCACTCTATAAAAGCTACTGCAATATTTTATGTCTGGTGTTCTAATTTTCAAAGCTCCTTTGGAAAGCACACTTTGTCCTTTAATTGTTCTTTCAACAGTATGATTCTCCCCATTAATTAAACATTCTTATGTTATTTAACAGTATGTTTTTCCTGACACACTGTTCACTAAAACCATAGAAAGTAAAGAGTATGATGACTGGTTTTATGCTCTATTGGATTACCAAAGGAAAAAAGGAAAAAAAAAAAAAAACTTGGGTTATCTTATTTAAGTGATTGGGTTTGGGGGTGAGAAATAGTGGGATTTGCATAACTTAAGCCACTTCAATACTTCATTGCCTTCTGTTTATACTACCAATATTCTTTCTCTCCATTAATTTCCATTGTTTTCTTTGCAAAGTGCAAACCTTCATCCACATTTCCACAACTTACCCAGATGCATACATCACTGGCGACATTAGTAACTTCAACTTAATTTTCAACAAGGATTGACCCAAGAAAGAGAACAATGTTCTTCCCCATTACTCCAAGAACTACCTACCCCTTTGAATATGGTCAAAAGAGATTCATTTCTAATTTATATAGATGTATATCAATACAAATACAGTAACATTAGTAATAGCCAGGAAGCTAGCTAGAAGTTGGTTTCTGTCAAATATTGTGACTTCTTGTTTGTAACTTTGTGAATTATTGATTAGCTAATGTCTCCTAGAGCTTGAAGCTCTCTTCCCCTCAAATTTATGAAAGGGGAGCCTAGATGAATTATTTCTTATGGAGCGTGGGACCCAACAAATGGGTTTTTAATAGTGGCATCTCCCAGACAACTAGGGACATGTTTTGTCTATTTGACAGTCAGCTGACCCACCACCGAATATAAAGATCATAGATATATAGATAAAAGAATGTTATGGCATTCAAAATTCTTACTAAAAACAAATGTTATTGTACATAGTCCTTAGGTAAAAAGTGCAAAGCCACAGACAGCATCATACACTCCTTAATACCTTTGCTCATGACTATAGGGTTTCATTGCAAATAAACATTGAGATGTGTTCAATATCAAGTACTAGGTCAAATGTGAAAACAAAGAGCCCACCCTAGCTTTAATCCTAATTTTCAATTCTATAACCAATAATTATTTTTTACTTTATGACTACCTCCTTTTACTTACTTTCGACATTAACAAGATTAATCAATATTAAATAATAATAAATTTCATTTTTGGCCGGAATTTGTGCAAGATTCAAGGGTTTTAATTAACACATGGAATATAATCATGTTGCGTGCTATGCCATGGTGTTACCACTTCACCATAATCAAGTTTTTTTTTTTTTTACGAATCATAATTAATTAAGTTCAATGATATTCTTTTAATTGACTAGCTTTTAACAATTTTCTTTTCTCCGTTTTAATCTTTGGGCTATTAAATTTAACAATGCTATGCAATATTTTGTTAAAAAACTTCCTTAAATTAATGAATGAAACCATTGTGCAAACTTATTTACTTAATTAAATTTGCAGTTGACAAGATTCATAATTTATGATAAATACATGCATCCTTTACTCAAAGAATTAAATTCAAATATTTTCTTTTTCAAAATAAAAAAAAAGTTGAGGAAATTTGTGGCCAGGTAAGCTTTTCTTATTTGGTAACGGTGATGAGAAGTATATACTACTCTAAAGCACATTACAAAATAGAGAAGCAATAAGTCAAGAAAACCAATAGGGACTCATGATGGCAGCATTAGTAGCATCTCACCATATATTTGACCACACATGAAAGAAAGGCTCTTTGAAATGCCTGATTGTAAAGGTTATCTCTCCAACTATGCAAAAGCAAAAGCTTTTAAGAGGGATCTTTCTGCCAGAACATTAATAAGTTATTTGTACAAGTATAAGTTTATTATATTTATATATGGCTACTGCCACCAGCACTTTGTTTTCAAGGTTGATACAGGGGCAAACGCAAATCCTTGAGCAGTCAACAACGTCGATGAACAGCAGTATTGAAATTGACTTTTACTCTGTTGAGTAATTTGTTTTTGTTGCTTGGTTCAGTAATTTTACTTGGAAAC